TGATTTGTTGATGTGTTGTAGCGATGGATGTGTTATATAATGTGTTGTTTGTGTTTCAGACAAAGATAGAGACGGGTCAGTACAAGACGGTTAAGCCGTTCGTCAAAGACATGCGTCTAATGTTCACAAACTGTCTCCGATATAACAAACCGGACGCACCGGTCATAGAACAGGCCCGCAAACTCAGGGTAAGTCTATATATTGAGCATAATAACAGTCATTTCTACCGTATTATCACGTGATATGCAAATACTGTTTATTTATAATATATATAGACTTTTGTGCCAAACGTTTGTTTGCTTTCCCAACACAATCGATACTAATTGTTGACTTTATATTGATTAGCATTTTGTTATGTTTAGTGTATTTTGTGGCTTTAAATACACATAATATAGCAAATGATCTTAATTAGCATTCGTGGGCTTTTGTAGACTATGTTTTGTTAAATTATATATTGATTTCAAATTACTTTTGATTTTAATAAGTTTTGCTAATATCTGGGAATTTAGTTTAATTGTTTCAATACTTGTTTTTATTGTTTTATTAATGAGTTTTGTTTTATGAAAACAGGATTTCTTTGAATACCGTTACGCGAGAATACCTGAAGAGTTATTGAAAGAGAAACTGATAACAAATAACCACCAAAACGGTCATCAAAACAATAGCCACAGTAATGGACACAACAATAACACACATAACAATCGACATAAAGAGAAGGAAACCAATGGCGAGACAGACGGCGAGTCCATCGATCGGATGAGATTACTGGAAACGCAGGTTAGACTCCTGTCCACCACTATATCGGCGCTGACGGGCATTGACACCAATAAACTAAAACCCAAGAACGGCGTAAAAAAGAGCGCCACTAATGGGAACAGTAGGCGGAAGAGACCGACGCCGAAGTCTAACGGCCACAGGAATGGCAACGCAAACCATCATAAGAAGCAAAAGACAGAGTATTTGAACGGCAATGACATCGACGATGAAGAGTATGACGAGGAAGAGGAGGACGAGCCGTTGGCGCCGTCGCCCATAGCCTTCGACGCCAACGATTTGGACGATTTACAGCAATTGAAGACTGATCTCGAAAATCTAGATGGTTTGTACTATTTGTTGGTCACCTTTTCATGTATTTGTTGGTCTTATGTATTGCTTGTCCACAAAGCGTTTTCGCCATTTTTATTCAAATAGTATTCAAATCTATATTTAAAAGTTGAGGGAAAATCAATGTTTTGCTCATTTACTATTCAATGTTTCTGTGCTTTGCTTTTAATGACATGTTTTTGTTGTATTTGTCAATGTCTTGAGGCCTTAAATCGATTTTCTTATACAATTCCCGTCGTTTAATACACGCATAAGTTTTTTCGAGAAAACTATTTTATTTTTTAGTTATAATTTCATTCTCTCTCTCTCTCTCTCTCTGTTTTTGTAATCTCTTTTCGATTGTAATCTTATTATGGATTTAATGTATTTTTGAGATTAGATTTTTTGTAATACTTTGAAAGCGCAGTCATTTCGATAGTTTTGTCTGAAAATTATTGATTTTTATAAAGTAATGTATTTTGTAAATAGAAATAGCATTTGTTGTATTATATTTGCTATCCTTTTGTATGAAAAGAAAATAATAGTTTTGTATTGTGTTTACAGCAAAGGATTTAAAGAATGTGTTGCGAATCCTTCAGTCGACCGAACCGTCTATAAAGTGCGATAACGACGAGAACATTGAGATCGACTTCGAGGCACTCAAACCCGAAACACTGATGGCTTTGCGAAAGTTTGTCTCGTCGTGTATGTTGAACAGCAAACCCAAGAAGAGTCGCGGTATGTCATCACATCCACTCACGCCATCCATTCCATCCATTGATAACTAATTTGTTTGTCTTAATCTCATTGATAGCGTCGCTAAACGGATCCGATTCGAGCAAAACGAGAACGAACTGTGATATGAAAAATGGATACAATGTCTCGTCGACTGCCGGCGCCGATCCGTCTAACGATGCCATGAATTTGAGTGATAGTGAGTCCGAGTCGTCCTCTTCTAGTGATAGCGAAGAAGACTAAACCCCAACAAAACAACACTTCATTACTTCAATCAATCGCTCACCCGTTCATTCATTATAATATTTTTGGTCTCACTTTTCAAATACACATTTCATTAACACTTATAAACACTACTCTCTGTTATTATTTTTCTGTATATATTATAATACTATTAGTAATTTAGTTTAGGTTTCAAATTATAACAAATTGATAAATTATTTTTAACGATTGGCTTTTTTCGTTCGTCTCGTCGTCTTTGTCGTCGGTTTCATACGAATGAAGAATTGAGTGAAAATATGATATTATTTTATGTCAAACTCATACGAACCGAATAAATAGTTATAAATATAATATCATATGATTTGTGTAAATATTACATACTGTTAGGTATCGTTCTTATAATTCTCTTGTATTGTTAGTTATTATTATTAATTAGCGATTGGTTTTGAAATATCACTCAAAAGCCTTTAATTGTACTAAAATATTACTGAACGTCTCGTTTTGTGTACACGTCTTAAGACTTTTGACTCGACTTTTCACAATTCAATGCCCAAATCACATATGATTTGTCATTTGTATTATTATTAAACGTTTTTCAATACTATTATTATTTGCCGTTTTTCACACCATTTAGTTCTCATTTATTTAATTCATTAGTGGATAGCATTCACGTCATAACGAAAACTAATTGTCTATACGTTTAAGTATAAGTATATTTTGTATGAAAAAAGAAATCAATTAAACAAATTAGCAATTTTCTCAATTCTAGTTATAGTATTAAAAATTTCAAATTAACTATTAATTAAATGTAAAGTTATAATAATAACGTACGAAAAAATATCCATGATAAAAAAAACTAAAAACACTTTAAATATTTGAATTGTAATTCGTATAAAAAGTACAAAAAAATTAATTCAAAGCAAAAAAATATGTGTTTACTATAATCACAAAAAATAGTTAATAATGAAAAAAATATTAAAATTTTAAAAATATGGCAAAAAAAATAATGTTATTCTCTTGTGAAAAATATGCCACACTTTTTGCTTTTAATGGATATTTGATTAATAATATGTATTAATAAATATAATAATTAAAAAAATAATAATATTAAATATAATAATAATAAAACGTTTACCTTTATTATGGAGTAAAAGCGACTTGGTGTTTTTGATTCACTAAATATTATTTACATTGTAATTGGGATGTAAATCTAAAACTATTAATATTTTAATTTCATATATAATTATGACTGAAATCAAATAATATGAAAATAATGACCAAAAAAATCATTTAAAAATTTTTAAAAATACAAAAAATAATTACTGTTATGTGTATTATTATCAGTAATATCTAAACCTCGAAATATATGAAAATAAATTGAAAAAATAAAGTAAAAAATATTATTTAAGTAAATTTTGTGTCATTCAACTAAGTTACCGGATGTGTGCCCTCCCGACAGGTCTGCCAGTAGTTTAGGCTTTGGTCGTCTTATTCCCGGTATAATCGAGTCATCAAAACCATTATTTTGAACAAATCGTTAACAAAAATATTCACATTTAAAGTTACAAGTTATATGTTTGCCATTAGAAACACATTGAATATTACTGTATTTATGTATTCAATTTATAAGTGGTTTATAATTAATAACAGGCATTGAAAATAGCTTTTGAATGGATAAGTGGTAAATATGTGATGAGAGTGGTGTGAGAGGACATGTACTCACATTTATCATGATTTCAAAGGGGCTTATGTCAATGTCCGAGTCAAACCTCAAATCTTGATCATTTCATCAATATGTGAACATATTTATTAATATTAACTTATTTATAAGTTACAAATTTTAATTGGATATTCATAAAAGAGGTGTTTTTGCAGAGTTTATGTCGATAATAAAAAATAATTAATGTTAACATTTAATATGATAACTATGTTAATAATTAAATTTTAGTATATTTGTTTTTGTTATTTTTGGCTAAATCTTTGTCAATAAATAAAATAAAATAAAAATTGTTAACAAATGATACTAATAATAGGTATGCATTAAGCATTTCGGGTATTTTATGCACATTTGAACGCTTTATAAACTATTATTGAGAGCAAACGCCGCCCACACCTCTCATTGCATAACATCTGCACTATTCTTATCAATTGGCACTCAACCAATCCATGAAATTCTGTTTGGATATTATACGCGAGTTATTGACCAAAAAGCACAGGGACTACGCCTGGCCTTTCTATGACCCCGTGCCCACTCAACAGTACCCCGATTACCTCGAGATCGTTAAGAAACCCATCGATCTAAACACCATTAAGGTATGCACTCATCACCACGTGTTTACACGCAATACACCACTAGTTATATAGCTTTATTCATTACACTATATATGCATTTAATTTGCTTTTCATTTAATTCACTCTATGTTTAGTCTAAATATTTAGATATTTAATTGTTTTGTCGATGATTACGGCCGACGATCGGTATAGTAAACACCGGTTGCGCTGGAAGTGATATGAAAATACCATCTGTTGGTTATAAGCGCAATGAGTTGAGGCCCACGTGTGGTAAACGTGTTTGCATTGTGTTCACTATACCTGTCGTTTGGCCGTTATTTGTATGAAACATACACTGATTTGTTGATGTGTTGTAGCGATGGATGTGTTATATAATGTGTTGTTTGTGTTTCAGACAAAGATAGAGACGGGTCAGTACAAGACGGTTAAGCCGTTCGTCAAAGACATGCGTCTAATGTTCAC